GGTGGTGGAGGTGGTGGTGGAGGAGGAGGAGGAAGAGGAGCCGGACGTAAGCTTGAAGAAGTGCAAACGCAGCCCGAACTGCGTTTTGTTGGCGTAGTTTCGCGTGCGAGAATAAACATCGGAAAATTGTAGGCGGAATGGTAGTCGAATGATAGGAGTTTTGGCGTGCTCTTCCTACATGACATACGTTCCGCGGTTTGTTTCCGTGGACCTTTGGGGTTCTTCGTTCACGCGCGTAGAGTGAGCCGTGATGCGACTCTGGTTTTTTTAATGAGAATATATTCGAGGATGTGATGTGGATGGTGTGGATGATTGTCGTGTGGTTTCCAGCCACACACGATCTTAGCGCAGGCATATTTAGCGCCTATTTGTGCGACACATGTGCACTTTTGAATGCATATGATTGAAAAAACACAAAACATGAAGAAACAAGGAAATGTCTTCTCATATTGTGTGCCCCCGGGGGGGGGAGGGTACCTAAGGTGTGCGGGATAACTTTTCGTGCGCCGTTGGGGTTCTTGCTCATATTTCTTCGCCGATTGCCCCATGCAGAGGACGCATGTCAATTTGCGTTGATTTCAACGTGACACTAAGCCTACGCAAGGCTCCTCACAAACAAAAAGCGTTGAAAAAGGGGATGGCGTTTCGCAGATCAAACGAAACAACTTGAATTTAGAGTAAGAGATTTGCACAAGAGCAGCTTTCTACGAGGGGAACGAAAAAAAAGACCGAAAAAGCATCATTTAATACCGTTTTTCGAGCGAGATCGAAATTTTTTAATGTGCCAAATCCAAAGCCTCTATATGATTATGCAGTACGAGAGCACCGGGTGAACCAGCTGCATTCGCGTTCAATCCGTTGGTTGATTGGGTATATAGGCATGAAGAACGGCGGCGACGCGTCAAACGGCCCAGAAGATGCGGCGCTTTGGTCCAATTGGGGCTGCCGCTGCATCTACATGTAGTCTAAAATCGTTCCTGGCTGTCTGCTGCTGCTATCAACGCATGCGACGCCATTCACACACCACATGAGTAGACTCTGGCACTTTCGAGCAGTGTGGTACCTTGCGGCGTGCTGTAGCTATCGGCAGCTGCGGCGTATTGTCTGCGCTTGTTCGCAAAAGAAACTGCGGGACGATCGTGCTCAAATCGCAAAATTTCAAGTACCTCGATCTCGCGCTACGAGGCCTAACCTGATAAGCGGCACATTCCTGATCGACGGGGTTCCTCAAGCTGGTATGATTTCTGCAAAAAGATGTAGAGGTTTGTGTCCCCTAGGGATAAGCGTCAGAGGGGACGAATGAATGAGGGGGCACCGCCCGGGATTTTTTATCTGGCAGTTTGACCTGTAAGAAAAAGATGTACATCGGTGGGCAAAACAAACACCATCGTGGAGACCCGGGGACACAGGGGACGGCGAGGAGCCTGGCCCCTAAGACCAGCTGTTATGGAGAAATTTCCGATTTGGAATCCGGGGATCGACAGAAAACGCTCGACAGAAAACGCTCAACCACCTCCTACAAGCAGGAGGTCTGCCTACTGGACAGCAAGCACAGCGCACCAGGGCACTTCGTCAGTCCGTCCTTGCCTCACAGCCCCTGTTTGTTATCTTGTATCCGACAAGACTGTACACTTCGCTACTGTGAGCTTCTCGGGGCCACGTTTGGGCAGCTAGAGTGCAGTGTGCGCAGAGTATGCCTCGGATATGATTGCACATTCACCATTTCCAGTTTGGAATTTCAACCAATTCTAGCTTGGAATTCATGAGCAATTCCAACCTCAGCGAGCACAAGCACTGTTTCAGGAGGTTCTATGCCCTAAATCTGAAAGTATTTGATGTCGGGGTCACCCCCACCGTCCTGACTTGCAGCCGTCGTATTTTGGGGGCCCGTTCCTGTCCGCATTGGTTGCGTTCTACTACAGATCGCGCCACCACTTAAGAACATATGAGTTAAGAACTTGAGCCTCAAACAATAAAAAATATAAGAACTTGGTCATAGGAACAGGTTCTCAGTTCCGGCGTGGTATTAAGAACAAGAACCCGCTCTTATGGTGTACCAATGCGCATACCGATAACAACGGAGCCCCAAAACGCGGCGGCTGCAAGATAAGAACTCAGGAAGGTTGACGGTGACCCAAACAGCAGTTTATTTCAGATCTCGAGACGGAGGGGGGGAGAGGACTTCGTGATAATGATTGTACGCGCGGAGGGGGAGGGCGCACTCTCTCTCATGTTTTGCATGCCGTAGAGATTAGACCATTGACCACACGTCCTCGAGAGGACGCATACCTGTGCCCACAGGACAGATCACCGATGACCAATCGTTCCTTCCTACAAACTTCGAAGTGCTTTGCCAAAGATGGCTCAAAAATGTCTTCCCTAGTCTATCTATCCTATCGATACCACTTGCCGCCTTTTCAACCCACTTGCTACGCCCCAGTACAGCTACCGTCTTCTCCAGGCTATTCCATGCTTCAAACATATCCTTGTACCTTTCCTTCTACGTGTCCAACTTAATACATTTCTCTACCCTTGTCGCCCAACACGGACGTTTCGCAACGACATGAACCCGATCTTCGCACTCGGAGCCGCATTCACATTCGAACTTGTCGTCTTCGTTGTCTTCCTTCCTGAATCTGCGTCAACGTTCTCAAAGGCCGTTGTTCTCAGTCCTAGTTTTGACCTTTCGGCTTTAATCCCTTCATCCATTGGTCCATGTAGGTACCTATTCCTTCTTTCAACACCCGTACACATCTAGACCCTCCTTATCCTTGGATCCTTTTGTTTGTTTGTGTTCTCTCTCGGCAAAAGTAGCAGATTTATCGTTCTCGAACCTCAATAGACCTACCGTTCGTTTCCAGGATGAACCCGATACCTACCGTTCGTTTCCACGTATCAACCTCATCAATTTTGAACTCTTCCGTACGTCATCAATAACCTTAATCCACTCCCTGGGTTGTTACCCCTGTTCTTCTTGTTTGTCCGCTTCGCCTCCCAAGCTTCTCTCGGCAACCTCTCCTCTCCCATGTCGTACACCATACGGTACTACTTGCCGTTTAGCTTCCTTACGA